GAGGTTTCACGAGCGCACGGCTGTAACGTGCGAGGCGCGGCCCAAGGAGGACAAAGCCCACCAAGCCCCAAGCGGCCCTTTAGCGCTGGCCGACAGGGGCGTCCGTCCTACGTGAAACCCAGCTGGCCGAGGTCTTCAACAACCTGCGGCCGTTCTCACAAATGCGCCCTCGTAGACGCGGCTCCGGCGCACGTCTCGGCCCCTGCTTCCATCCTTCCACTGCGCGCTGGCTGCGCCAAGCCCAATGGGGGCCGCTACTTGGCCCGCCACCATCGCGGTAGAAACCAGTCGGCCAGCGGCGCAGGGGGTAGGGACGGAGGGAAGCGGCTCCGCGGTGGAAGAGGCGCACCCCGCCTCCTGCCCCCTCCCTCGTGGGCACTGGGCGGCGGGCACGCGCGCCGCAGGGAGTTCGGGGCTGCGGGGGCTCCTGCCCGCCCTTTCTCCCGTTCCCGCCTCCCTCACCGGGGCATGGCTGTCGCAGTAGCTGGACAACGGTGACGTTGGTGAGGACGATGTCGCGTTTCGACATGGCCTAAGGTTTCATGGCCTAGCCGCCCCGGACACCGGCGGGATGTTACTGCGGTGCGCGATGTTACTGCGGTGGGGGGCGCCCGACCTACTGGGGCCGGAGCTTCTCGCCGTGATGTCACAGTGCCCGGTGACGTCACAGAGGCGGCAGCACGAAGCGTGTGACGTCCGCGTGCGTGCACCGCAGCCCCCAGGCCGCCACTGGGGTCTAGAATAGAATCCAACTTTTTACACAGGCCTCCAAGCCCTTCTTTCTCTCTCTCACTGAGTACACTGGCTGTGTGCTGCTCCTTGACCCGCCTCTGAGTAGTTAGCTGCCCTGGCTGGGTTTTTTTTTCTTGGAAAGCCGTGCTGTGCCCCTGCAAGGCTGCCTCCTGGCTTCCCTCCGGCGCCCCCCTTTAAGAGAGGCCCTCCTAACTCCCCATTTGAAGTTCTCTCCTGCCTCAGTCACTACCGGCCATCACCTTCACCCCCTCAACCCACCTACCTCCCAGGAAGCCTTGTCCCACTTCCGTCCCTGCGTTAGATGTTCCAGTGTGCAAAACTCCATCGTTACCCCCCCCCCCCACGTTTTTTATTCTCACAGCAAATGTCTCTCTCTAAAAATGATCTTGTTTATTCGTTTGCTTGCCGGTCGTCTCTGCCCACTAGACTCTTGGAGGACAGGATGCTTGTCTACCCTCACTTTTGTATCCCACTGACTAGAGGAAGGTTTGGCATCTACAGTGCTCAGTAAATACCAGCATGAATACAGAAATCTTGCCTCCTCACATTTCTTCTGACTCCCTGTCATAAATTTAAGCGACCCCCAAGTCAGATCCTCTCACAACATCCCATTCTTGTGGCTTTTCACATAGTTTGTCATGATCTAGTTATTAATTTACTTGCTCAACGTGTCCCCTGTTGTTCACCACGGAGCCTTCACCACCTAGAACTGTGCCTGACACAAAGCAGCTTCCGGGACAGAACGGATGGACAGATGGCCCCTTTCCTCTAAAGCCCTGGGGGTGGGGGCTTGCTTGCACATCTGTGACTCACAGGCAGGCACCTTCACCTGAGGGCTAGCTGACACAGAGCTGTGACCAAGATTTAGGGGGTGTGGGGGTTTGGGTCAGGAAGGAGTCACCATCCCAGAGAGAGGTGTGGAAGCCAGAAGGGGCGGTATGACGTAATACTCTTTTCCTTCCCCAAGCCTTCATGGGAATTCCGTTTGCCAAGCACCTGCTGTGGGACAGGGTGAGGGTGAGGCTCTCCTGCTTGGATGGTCCAGGGAGGTGGAACTGAAATTAAACTGTGTATACAGATGGGGAAATTTCAGTGACCCAAGACCAAAATACAGGTATTAATTAAACAAGAAGGGGACAAACTTAACATGTACGATGGCAGGGGGGACGGGGGCTGTGGAAGATCACCCAAATAAAACCGGGACTGAAGAGGGGCCAGTTGTGTACAACTTTACAACAGATGTGAAGAGCTAGATGCAATTAAAACTTATCTTAGAAAATATAAAGGATTGGGGCGCCTAGGTGGCTCAGTCGATTGAGCATCCAACTTTGGCTTAGGTCATGATCTCACGGTTCACGAGTTCAAGCCCTGTGTGGGGCTCTGTGCTGACAGCTCAGAGCCTGAAGCCTGCTTCTGATTCTGTGTCTCCCTCTCTCTCTCTGCCTCTCCCCAGAGCACACTCTTTCTGTCTGTCTGTCTCTGTCTCAAAAATAAACATTAAGAAAATGTAAAGGATCAACAGTGGCGCAAAAAGAAATGGCAAATCTGAGCCAGCCAATAACAAGAGAAGAAACAGAGTTAAGATCTATCTTCCCAAAGGCTAATCCAGATCCAGGTGACTTTATGGGCAAGATCTGCTAAAGCAGGGGCGCCTGGGTGGTTCAGTTGGTTAGGTGCCAGACTTCAGCTCAGGTCATGATCTCGTGGTTTGTGAGTTTGAGCCCCGTGTGGGGCTCTGTGCTGACAGCTCAGAGCCTGGAGCCTGCTTCAGATTCTGTGTCTTCCCCTCTCTCTGCCCCTCCCCCGCTCACCCTGTTTCTCTCAAAAATAAATAAACATTAAAAAATGTAGAATAATAATAATAATAATAATAATAATAATAAAAGACCTGCCAAAGCATCAAGAACAAGTGCTTGGCAGCCCACAGAAACGGCTGCAGATCCTCACCAGGGCGGGGAAGTGGGGGGCACAGCTCCTGTGCAGAGAGGCTCTGGGCAGGCCATGCGCTCCCAGGCCCTGTGTGTGCTTCTGCCCCACACTCCCCAGGAGTGTTTGCTGTGACGCTGGGCCACAGAAACCTCTTTGACTTGCTCCAAAAGCAGCAGGGCCACATGACCAAAGGCAGAAGAGGATGGCAAAGAAAGGATGACTCCAGGCCAATCTCTTATGGTGACAAGACGTCAAAGTCCTGAATCAAGTAGTGGCAAATGGGATTGGGTCTGAGAAGAACTGGGGCTGACACGAGATGGTGGGATGGGCAGAGAGGGGAGGAAGGAGAAGATGGAGTGCATTTCAAAAGGAGAATCCCCACCTCTCAATCTTGGGGTGGATTAGGATTCTGAAGTTCACCACCCACCCTCCCCACCCTGAAATCTCCTGGTGCGGGAAACTCCCTCATTTAGGCACCGGACAAGGGCAGAAGAGCCACACCTGAGTTTGCCCAGGGATTTTTGCCTTTGTCCCTGGAGCGTGAAACTGGGAAACAGACCTAATGAGCTCAAGCTTGGAGATGTGGCGCGGTTAGTCACCCTCTACAGGCAGTGCCTAGAAATGGCAGAAGCCCCTGGGTCTCTGGGCCTGGGCGTCCCGGACCCGGGGTGGAACCTCGGGTCCTCCAAGGGGGGTGGCCTTGTCACCCTCGTTTGAGCAAAGCCTGAAAACACATGCAGATTCTCACCACACCTGGGCACCCACGCACATAACTCTGCCACCCCTGCTTGCTCACACCCTGTACATTCCTTCCTGCGAGCCTTCCCACCAAGAATCCCACTTCCACCCCCTCTCTGTCTCTCCCTTTGGCATCAAAACCCAAATATCTTTCACTCCTGCACCCAACTTACCCACACACTGGCTCTCATTCTTCTGGTCTCTGCCTGCCTCTAAACTAGCCCCAGATAGTGATGCTGCCACAGACCCACCAGACACCACCTGCTCTTCCTTCTGGTGGCCTTTGTCATGCCCAGGCTAGACTCCCGGCTGTTCCCTCTCCAACCCCTGCTACCATGTCAACACTTGGGGCTTTAGGTTGGGACCGAGGAGGCCCCAGGGGGAGGAGGGAAGGAAGGATGAGCCCCTGGCCTCCAGCCCAGGTTCTGGCTGACAGTCTCCTGCTGCCCCGGGTCTTCGGCCCCTCCCCGAGGCTGCCTCAACCGGCTTTTCAGGAGACACTGCGTCCTGTCCCAGCTCATGGCAGTCAGTCCTCTGCCCTTGCCCAAGGCCTGGGAAGCAGGAGGCCAAGGTTCTGTTATGAGAATGTGTCCTGGCTCCAAAATCTGTAACCCTCCCCCAGGGACCCTACGCTGCTCTGGGAACCCAGGCACCCTTCTCTCCAGCACCCTCTGAGACTCAGGCTCAGGCTTGGCCTCCCTTAGTAAGCATACTATGTATACTTACATCATAAATAATTTCGGGGAGTGCTTCTTTTAGTCCATCCATTTGTTCAATCTAGAAATATTAGCTGAACCCCAGGCAATGTTCTAAATATTGGAGATGTAGCAGTGACCAACACAAAAAGCCCTGTCCTCTGGAAGTTTACAATCTGATAGGTAATGCAGGCAATATAAAAGATAATTTTGGATCATGGTAAGTGCTTATAAAAACAAAAGGATGATATTATCCAATATAACTGAGGGACAGCCAGGGAAGGGTGGTTTTTTCTTTTTTTCTTTCTTTTTTTGAGAAGATGACATTTGAGCCAACAGCAGAATAAGGAAGAATTCACTGTGTGAAGATCTGAGTTCTGCATTCCAGGCAGAGAAGACAGCAAGTGCAAGGACCATGAGGCAGGAAAGAGCCTGGTGTGGCTGAGGACCAGGGAGAAGACCCCTGAGGCTAGGACGTGGTACGTGTAGGAGCAGGGGTGTCTACAGGAACAGTAAGAGCAAGGTCTGATGACCCCCTCAACTCCCCAAGAGTGCTCTCCTTCTCCTGACTGGGCCTCCCATCTCCCCAGACTCTCAGAGCTGGGGAAACCAGATCCTTCCATCCCCTGAGAGGAGTGAAGAACCAGGCCTGGGTCCTGAGGACAGAGGTGCTGGAAGGTGGGGTTGGGAGAGAGGAGGCCCGGACAGTGGGTGAGGAATGAAAAGAGGGGGTGTTTGGAAGGGAGGCCATCTGGGTTTTGGGGCGGAGGGCCCGAAATGGGCAAGAAGCAAAGATGCCACGTGAGTGTTCTCCATTCATGACTCACCCTCTCTTCCTCCTCCTCTTCATTGCTCAACTCAGAGCTCCCAGGGAAATACCTCCCTGACTGGGGACCAAGTCAGTGCCTCACAAGGGTAATTGAGTCATGAGGGGTGGAGAAGAGGGAGGGAAGTAGAAGATAAATAGCAGCTTTGCCTCCCTGGCTCCTCTCTGCATCCTTCCCACCCTGCCAACAACATGCACCTTGACAGTTTGCTCAGCTCCTGCTCCCTCCTACTGCTATTCGGGGCCCTTCCTGGATGGGCAGCCAATGATGACCCCATTGAGAAGGTCATTGAAGGAATCAACCGGGGGCTGAGCAATGCAGAGAGAGAGGTGGGCAAGGCCCTGGAAGGCATCAATAATGGAATCACTCATGCTGGAAGGGAAGTGGAGAAAGTTTTTAATGGACTTAGCCACATGGGGAGCCAGGCTGGCAAGGAGCTGGACAAGGGCATCCAGGGGCTCAACAACGGCTTGGACAAGGTAGCCCATGGGATCAACAGTGGCATCGGACAAGGAGGAAAGGAAGCAGAGAAGCTTGTCCATGGGGTCAACAACGCTGCTGGACAGGTTGGGAAGGAGGCAGACAAAGTGATTCAGGGGGTCCATCATGGGGTCAACCAGGCGGGAAGCGAGGCGGGGAGATTTGGCCAGGGGGTCCATCATGGGGTTAGCCAGGCTGGGAAGGAGGCAGAGAAGTTTGGTCAAGGGATCCACCACGGGGTTAACCAGGCTGGGGATGAGGCGGGGAGATTTGGCCAGGGGGTCCACCATGGGGTTAACCAGGCTGGGAAGGAAGCAGAGAAGTTTGGTCAAGGGATCCACCATGGGGTTAACCAGGCTGGGAAGGAGGCAGAGAAGTTTGGGCAGGGGGTCCACCATGGGGTTAACCAGGCTGGGAAGGAGGCAGAGAAGTTTGGTCAAGGGATCCACCACGGGGTTAACCAGGCTGGGAAGGAGGCAGAGAAGTTTGGCCATGATGTTCATTACGCTGCAGGGCAGGCTGGGAGAGAGGGAGACAAAATAGCCCAAGGGGTCCACCATGGAGTTAACCAGGCTGGGAAGGAGGGGGAGAACTTTGGCCAGGGAGTTCATCATGCCGTTGAACAGGCCGGAAAGGAGGCAGACAAAGTGGTCCAAGGGGTCCATGATGGGGTCAACCAGGCCGGGAAGGAGGCTGAGAAATTTGGTCAAGGGGTCAACCACGCTGCCGGCCAAGCTGGAAAGGAAGCGGAGAAACTTGGCCAAGGTGTCCACCATGCTGCTGGTCAGGCCGGGAAGGAGGTGGACAGGTTGCAGCAGAATGTTCATAACGGGGTCAACCAAGCCGGCAAGGAGGCCAACAAGCTGCTGAATGTAGGTGAACAGGGGTGGGGAACGGGGGAGAAGGGACTGGGGGGCGGGGAGAGGTTAAAACCTTGGGGCATCTGGGTGGTCCATGGAGCCTTCATTCAGTGAAGGAAGCTTGGGCAGCTCTATGACCACGCTCCCTCTCTGGGTTCCGCTGGTCAGATGGATCAAACCACCTTATCGCAAAGCCCTGTATCATTCATTGTGAAAGGGACCTCGCCCCACCTTTCGGGGGGATGTAAAGAGAGGCACATGAAGCCTCTGCTGGGGAATAGGAAGTGGTTATGAGCCAAGATCTATTGCAGTGCAAACAGAGTGAGTGTTGAGAAAACCCAGAGCATCAGAGGAGGCATGAGGAATAGCTTCTGGAGATAAGCCCTTTTCTGCTTAATTTTCATAACAAGCCTCTGAGGTAGTCAGGGTGAGGATGCTGACTCCCTGATTCTCAGATAAGGAAATGGAAGCTCCCTGAGGTTTTCAGGGGACTTGCCAAGGTCATGTGGCTAGCACTCAGCAGAACAGGCACCAAGGAGGGGGCTTGGGGACTAGAAGGCTGACCCCTGCCTGCCTCAATTCCCCATGCTCCAATCTCCATGAAGAGTCTTTGAGGATTGGTCCAGACCTTGACCTTGAAGCCGACAGCGACATCGCCCACCAGGCAGGGACCCAGGGGTGGGTGGGGAGGAAGGGACTCTGCAGAAAGTGTACAGGGTAGAGGGGGTGGGGGGCTCTGTGTCAGACAGCAGTCTTCACTGGGAAGAGGTCAGGAGGCGGAGGTTTCTTGTGGGATTCAAGGCTGGCCACGGCAGTGGAGGCACTGCTGAGTATCTGGGGATAAAATGAGGGCAGAGATCAACCCAGGTTGGGGATCAGGCCAGAGGGTATGTAGAAGGGGGTAGAGCTGAGGTCGGGGCTGAAGATCTGTGTGGCTTCTCTGCGTTCCCTTTCCAGTCAGGGCCTTCTTAGCGACAGGGTATTCGTTCACAGAAATAAGAGGGAATTGGGGGAAGACTAGTCAGGAGGGGGCAGACATCCTTCCAGGCTTTTCTTCCCATCTCACAGAATTCCCACAGCAACATGGGCTCTGGGTTTCCTTTCCGGATGGTGAGGGGGCAGGAGGTCAGCCTATGCCCCCCACCTCAGCCCCGGGCACCCTCCAGGGCGGCAGGTCAGGGGGAAGATGAACTTGGGAGGCCCTCCAGGGCTGAGGGGTTGTAATGACGGTCTGGGCTTCGTCCGCAGGGCACTCACCCAGGCGTTTCCACCGGCCAGCACCAGCACGGAGGGGGCGCAACCACAACATTAACATCTGGAGTAAGTCTCCTGAGCACAAGGACTGCGTGGGGGGAGGGGAGGCCCTACTAGGGTGGGCGGTGAGACTTGTGCCGGTGACCGACCCTCTTGTCCTTGACTTCCAGGCCTCGGTCAACAAGGCCTTTCTCAACTTTCCAGCTCTGTGGAAGGTGAGTGGCCACGTGGCTTCTACGTTCTGCTCTCGGTCTCTGGAGGCATAGCCACGCTCCCTTCCCACTGCCCGTTCCCGGACAACGTCACGGTGGACAGACCCTCAGCCTTGCAGAGACCATCCATGCAACCTGTTTCCCAGCTCTGGCTTTCCCTTCCTTTGCCTGCTCTTTGTCCCTCACCCCTGCTTTCCTCTTCTGGCTGCTTTCCACTCCCGCGGAGGCGAACACAGGCTGGCAAAACAGACCCGCGGGGGCGAGGGAGGCGCTGCGAAAGCCTCCCCTCCCTGTGATACTTCTCACCCTCTTTCCTCCGATTCCCGATTCCCTCCCTTCCTCGACCCGCTGGGAGTCCCTCTGCTGCCACCTTACAGCCAGCCGTGTGCTGGGGGGAGTGGGGAGCCTGCTGCTCTGTCCCTTCCCCTCGCCCCCCAGTCTAAAGGCCCCCTTGGGACCCTGGTCCCTACTCTGGGCCCAAAGCAGAGTCCTAGCTCTTCTCTTTGCGGTTAGTACCCGAGCTGCAAGAGACTGGGGCATACGGACGACGGATGACGGTGGGAACAGCCGCCAGGCACACCCTTGTTTATTCCTGGGCCGTGGGGGTGGCAGGCGACCCTCTGAGGAGGAACAGACAAGGCTTCTGGGCTCCTACAGTGGCTGCTGGCACCTCAGCCTGGGAGGGCTGGCTCCCTATTCTTCCTGATTCTGGAAGTCACCCTCCCGGAGATGTTCCCCAGAGGATAAGCAAGTCGGAGGGCAGAGAAGCTAATGTCAGTGTCCCTCTCCTTCGCCAGGGGGCTGAGGGCGGACGTCTTGGTCCCCTGCATTCACTCCCTCTGTCCTCTCTTCCAGAGCGTCATCGCCATCATTCCCTGAACTGATGCGCTGGCCTTCTCAGCAGACTGACATTCCTGTTGTCATACTAACTGGCATGACCTGCAGGAGCCGGGGGTGGGGGGGCAGATTTCCTGAGTCTCGCAGGGCGGCTGTACTGGGATTTGTGAATAAACACGACACTCTTTTACTCTCATCATGGTCCGCCGTGCTCCCCGAGGAGGGTTTGGTGGAGGGGACGGGGGAGGCTTCTCTTTTCTCTCCTTGTTACTTTGCTGAAGGACCTGGGGGCTGACACCCAGGGGTGGCTGAACTGGGGACGTCGGGCTGGTCAGACGCGAGACGGCCAGACGGGGACGAGCCACGCTTCGCGAGCGCGCAAAATTCGCGCATGCTCAGCACTGAGAGGAGCGTCTGCGCAGGAAAAGCCACTTCCGGCTGGCAGTGGGGGCAGAAGCACCGGGGAAGAGAGTGGTGGGAACCTAGTGGAGCCCAAGGGAGTGGCATCCTGGGGGGGTGGGAGGGGTGGCACCAAAGGAATAACAATGGCAACTTGTATTTATGGTGCACGGCCGGGCTCCCTGCTGGGTGCCGTCCACGCGTGACCTCACCGAATCCTCCCAACCGCCCAGCCGAGTGAGAGGTTCTGTTACTGCCCCTTTTTATAGAGAAGCACATGGAAACTCCCGCAGGTTAAGAAACACGACCGAAGTGGGGCGCCTGGGTGGCTTAGTCGGTTAAGCGTCCGACTTTCGCTTGGGTCATGATCTCTCGGTTCGTGGTTTCGAGCCCCGCGTCGGGCTCTGTGCTGACTGCCAGCTCAGAGCCTGGAGCCTGTTTCAGTCTGTGACTCCCTCTCTCTCTGACCTTCCCCTGCTCACGCTGTCTCTCTCTCTCTCTCTCTCCTAGAAATAAACAAAACATTAAAAAAAAAAAAATAAACACGACCGAAGTCACATAGTGGAGGAGAAACGAGAGCTACATAGCATATTCGGAAAATAGTCTTTTCCTGTTTGGCATCAGTGTGTGTCCTGGGGTGGGGGTGGGGGATCCGTGCAAAGGAGAGAGGAAGGAGATGCGTGTGGGAGACGCGTGCCTGCGGGGGAGGAGGACCGAAGGCTCAGGCGGCAGGCACACTGACGACAGGAGGGCGGGCCTCTTTACGAGAGGGGACCGGTGGCACGGAAGGCGTGGTTTTCAGATGTGTGGTAGCAGCTACTGCTTACTAAGCACTTACTAGGTTCCAGTACTGTGTGAAAAGCTAGAACCATTTCAGCCTCTCACAGCCCAAAGGCGGAAGTCCTCTTGCCGTCCCCATTGTATGGGTGAGGAAACTGAGGCTCGGAGGGGCCAGGGCCTCGGCTGTCTATTGATAGAACCTGACCTTTCCCAGTTGCCTGTAAAGCCTCTGGAATGCACTGGTCTGGGTGCTGGGGCACCTGCCTCCTATCAGGACCATATGCCTGCGGGCGGCTTCCTTTCCTTCCGGGCCGGAATTTCCTTCTGTATAAAGGGGGGTGGGGTGTCCCCAGGGGAGGACGACAAACATGGCTTCCAGCTCCAAAATTCCATCCGTTGTGGGACTGAAAATAAGAGACCAAAAATGGCCCTTGGGGAACTTATAGGCTTCCCGGGGAGACAAGGCATATAAACAGAATATGAAAACAAATACAAAGCCGTGCCTGGGTCAGAACTAGATGCCACGCCAGGGGGGCGGGGCCTGCATGTGTACCGTAATGGGGACGCTCCTGACACTTCCCGTTTGCTGCGTTTTATCCTGATTTGCAGAATACCATCATTTTTATCACATAGGGCCCTTCCCTTCCCTTGCAATATTTTGATTTGAAAATATTTCAAACATAAAGATTTTTTTTTTGAGTAAGAGAGTGTGAGTCAGGGAGAGGGGCAGAGGGAGAGAGAGAATATTAAACAATATTTTTTAATGTTTATTATTGATTTTTGAGAGAGAGAGAGAGAGAGAGAGGCAGAGTGTGAGCCAGGGAGGGGCAGAGAGAGGGAGACACAGAATCCAAAGCAGGCCCCAGGCTCTGAGCTGTCAGCACAGAGCCTGACGCAGGACTTGAATTCATGAACCATGAGATCATGACCTGTGCAGAAGTAGGACACTCAACCAACTGAGCCACCCTGAGAGAGAGAGAGAGAGAGAGAGAGAGAGAGAGA